GATAGATAGATAGATAGATAGATAGATAGATAGATAGATAGATAGATGTTCATGTGTAAAGTGCAAGAGCAAACTGAGAGTAGATAAATGCTTTAACGTTTGAAGTTGGAAATCTGTCACTGTGTCCACAATCTTTGACCCACAGAAAAAATCAATAGAAGAAAGTGTCCTCTTTCGCACCATGTGACTTTCATAGGCATCAGAGCTTTACTTTTTAAACTAGAGGCATCTAAACCAGAGGACCGTCCAATAGAGAGACATACAAAAAATGTGTAGGACTAAGTTTTCTCTGTCTTCAAGTTCTTAGTGTCGTTCATTTTCAAGTACTTCCAACCACATTTTAATGGTCTTCAGATGAAATATGTTCTCGGATCTTGAATTTAAAAAATTGAATGTAATTGCATCACGACAGTGCCACTTTAGATATGTTACTGTTTAAAAAACTAAATTGTATATTGACTTATTTTAAACACAATTCCATATATCATATATATGGACCCATTAAAACATTAATTTGAAGGTTTTAACAGATTATCACCATATACCATCTGTCATTTGTTTCTTATTGCGTTGTGCATAAATCAAAACATCATTCTTTACCCAGTTGCAAATATATGGACATTATTTGTTACAGGTCTGGACTCAACAGTATTTGGGCAGTCTGGGATAGCCACTGTCTGCTGTAGATGTCTGCGATGTGGTTTCCTGGTTTGTTGCCTTAGCAGCAGAGCACATAAATGCAAGTATTCTTTACAAGTAACTTTATTGCACCCCATTTCAGAGTATCTCTAACATACAGACCTAATTTTACTTTGATTTTGTAACTTTAAAAAGTATTCCCCTTGGTAAATAAAAAGTTTAGTATTTAAGGAATAGAAATATTAGAATCTTTGGAAAATGGAGACATGTTTCTTTGCTGTAGTTTATGACAAAAAGTGACCTTTAGGAAATGTTTAAAGAAAAACTCAGACAAACTCATCGGATTTGCAGGTGGCGCCACCATTTTGGACCTCATCCTTAACAATGACAGGACCACCTACGGGGAAGAGATTGTCTGCCGTTGCTATGGAGCTAATAACAAGTTGAGAGCTATGCATTCAAGCGGATAAGATGGAGATGGCTCTTGATGTAATCTACACACTCATTTTACTCAAAAATCAAAGCATATGTTAACCCATCAGGAAAATAAATCATGCCATTTGCTAAAGAGAAGAAAGTTAAAATAGCCTAAAATTGGACTAATTCATGAAACTGTAATCATGGGGAGGGATAAAAGGATCAAAATCTCACAAACCATTCTGTTTGCAAACATAGCTCAACATGAATCCTTCCGCATCATTGTAGTACAGCCTCCTTGTCAGTAAAGGTAGAAAGAAAAGATGAATAATTTTCCTTGGTTTATTCTGAAAGAGACTTTGAGTCAACATTCTGATTCTTAAGAATGTCTGCACCAATTGAACCCTGCAGGCAACCAAAAACTATTCATTCAGAAACAATACTGTTCGGATTTGGCACCATACCTGCCACCTTGACAATTCTTGTGCCAAAGCTTGTTACACTGCTGAACTAGCCCTCCAGACATCCCAGGCCAATGCTTGTTGTGCAGACTTTCAGCAATATTCAAAACAATCTATCACACACAATAACATTCCCTGGTATTAAAAGCAGCGTATGTGCATGATCTGCTATTCAATTAATTACCCCGTTATAGAAGGTAGAAACTGTGATAACTGAATTTCCATACAGCACTCCATCATAACAGTACAGTCAATCCAGGATCCAATGTTGAGCGAAGAGGTTTTATCTAAACTTAAGCCTGTAAACTTATTGCCAAAAGGTTAACTATGTGTTGTAAATTATATATTTCACACCAATACCTTACAACTTTGGTTCTATTTCTAAAACAGAAAGGTAAAGGTGTTATCTATCCATCAGGGTAATAAATCATTCTTATTATCAAGTCATTGCTTACTGAGGTGCATGATGCTTCAAGAGCCTTCCACAATATTCTATATACCCACATAAGTATAGCATAAATTACCTTATTCTTGAGAAGTGAAAATCGAAATAATTATCCAATATTTTGCACCTGTAAGTGAAAAAAACAAATAGAGCGTCTTCGAATAGCATTTAATTTGAAGGAGAAATTAGAGTCTTTCGTTTTCAGTCAAAAGAAGGCAGTCAGCTGTGAGTGGGTGCCCTGGTTAATCTGAAGTCTCAGTGATATATCGAAATCTGATACTCAAAATATACATTTGTACAGGAGTTTTGGGACAGTTGTTATCTTGCTCCAGGTGTGGGATGGCATTGGTTCAACAACAAAAGAATGCAAGGTAACTTCCAACTACGTTATGTTTGCTGTAATATTGGTGTTCATGAGGATCCAGATTAGGAAAATGCTCAACAGCAGAATGTTTGTATTTTTTCCATTTTCTTTTATTATGTTCTATTAAATCAGGGCACAGACAGTTAACATAATAGAGAAATGAGTTCTTATTTTAATTAATTATTGTCACTAAAATCAGATTAGAAAAATACAGAAGTAACATGATAACAGCCCAGAGAAAAACAGTTGAAAAAGAAAAAACCCAGATCGTAATCCAGTGGAAAGTTTGGGGAGTGAATAAGTTGGAGTTCACTGAGGAGTTTGGTATGAAAGACAGTCATTTCTACAAACTCATGTCCTGGACTGACCAGTTCCTTCATAATTTGCTGTGAAAACCGGGAATATACTAGATCCTGAATATAGGTTAAGGCAACTCACACACTCACAGGAATAAAACACTGAACCATTCTTTTTGAGAAACAAATTGGTCAAATACCATTACCTTAGTAGTAGTGTTTCTTTTTTTCTCAACGAGAGTTCAGTAACATTATATAGATTTTATTTTAGTTATCAATGTGGAAGCTATGTCAGGTACCATGACATTTTTAGTGTATCATTACTGTGAGATAAAACAGCAAAAAGTATTTTTCAACCAAAAGTATCTGCCTACCAGACATTCTTATTTCTATGTCATCAAGAATTTTAAAACAACGTCATGAATGAGTTCAGAGCAGAGGTGGGATTTTCTTGACGTATGGTTACATGTTGAATTCCCTGTTAATACCACCTAAAAAGTGCAGGTCACCCTGATCATTAAAATATTTGATATTCAGGAGCAGGAAGAAATAGAAACACACCTTAAAAAAGAAAAAGGGAGAAGAGTCTATTTTAAAAGAGTATGTCATGTTAAATGTTTCCTCAAAACAAAGCTTGAAACCAGCTGTGCCTGTAAAATTCTTCCTCTCATCAGAGGATGGATGCAACAAGTTTCCCTTTATGGGGTTTGGATGATGTCTAATTTATAAAAGACAAACCCATAAGGCGGCATTGTTTGTGTGAGCGTGTGCTTGAGGCGGTTTTCAGTGAATATTCTCCACCTGCAGAGGGCAGTGGCTTTTCTCTTTTCACAGATCTTCCAGCACGTCCCGCAGACACGGCCCAACAGAATGGAAACAGAACACTAAGAGACAGTTTGCCAACTTGTACACTTGTATTTAGAATGTACATAAAGCTGCGTGTAGCTGGCTGACAAACGTGTTTTTGCGAAATCTATATTTCAGGCTATCTTGTTACCCGTGCTTAAAAACAGAAACGGTGGAAGCGAAGGGCGCAGCATGGGTCTATTGTTTAATGAGCTCCCTTCCATAAAATAATTGATCACAATGACTTGATAATAACATCTTGCCAGTCAGCACGTCAGAAGTTGCTATGACACCTGTCACAAAATTCTCTGTGTGCATGTGCATGTGGCAAATAACAGCCCACACGTGAGGACTTTTGCCCCGTGGTGCAAACCGCCCATGTAAAAAAAAAAAAAAAAAACAGGACTTCTCACGGGCCAGGTCTGAGGATGGGACCTCTGCCTGCCGGTCGCGCTAAATCCTCCAAGATAGCGCTAAAGCTCTTGGGTGTTATGTAAGCCTCGGAATGAACAAATTTGTTCGCCCACACCCGGGGGCATCTGGTGATGGATATGTAGTCCTGGGGGACTGGGGAAGCGCACAGCGCAACAGCCGGCCGCTTATCCTGAAAGGCTTGATTTAAGTGTTCCTCGGTTAGGAAACAAAAGCTTTAAGAGCCCCCATTACCTTACAATTGATGTACAATCCCCATTGTTCAGTTAGTTCACACACACATAGGTATTACTATATATGGTATTCATTTGGGTTAGATCTATGCCTCTACTGTAGCTGGACATTATGTCAACTAAAAGTATTTAAACAATACAATTTAGAGATGAAATAAGATCAAAAAGGTGCGTGGAATTGTATATGTTGTAAATTTATCTTGTGTGTGGTATCTGTGGGATGAGACCAGGTCTAAAAAGATGGCCAGCCACTTGTGTCTGAGGGCTAGTTTATCCCACTTAATCAGCATCCTGAGACACTGGCACTGCCCCCATGGCCATAAAGCACGGGGTCACTCTCGGCTCCTCAAAATGAAGGGAAGCCCGAGCACACAATGCCGCTGTCAATCAGCCTTAACCTGGGCTGGGCCCTTTATGCCTCATATAGTGTACAAGTGTAATCATTAACTCCATAAATGCAAATTAATTTAATCAATGTTTTTACTAACTCAATGCAAGGATACATGGATG